AGTTCAAGGCAATATCAATGCTGTGTTGTGTCGTAGTGGGTAGTTGTCCAGTCAGGACGGACTACAGTTCAACACAATATCAATGCGGTGTTGTGTCGGTAGTGCGGGTAGCTGTCCAATCAGACGACTACAGTTCAACACAATATTAATGCTGTGTTGTGGTCGTAGTGTGTAGTTGTCCAGTCAGACGACTACAGTTCAACACAATATCAATGCGGGGTGTTGTCGTAGTGTGTAGTTGTCCAGTCAGACGACTACAGTTCGACACAATATCAATGCGGGGTGTTGTCGTAGTGTGTAGTTGTCCAATCAGACGACTACAGTTCAACACAATATCAATGCTGTGTTGTGTCGTAGTGTGTAGTTGTCCAATCAGACGACTACAGTTCAACACAATATCAATGCTGTGTTGTGTCGTAGTGTGTAGTTGTCCAGTCAGACGAGTACAGTTCAACACAATATCAATGCGGTGTTGTGTCCATAATAACATTTATTGACGTCATAAAATCTCTTTTTCAAAAGAGGGTTCAACACATATTGTGTGTAATAATAACAATATTTAAATCACTTTGTAGATGATGAGCAGTGTTGGTAGCATGACAGATGCCACTTGTGACAATCCAGAAAAACTAACTTTGAACTGTCCAGACAATGCAGTAGATGGTGATTCTGACAGTGTAACAAACAATGATCAGCTGAAATTTATATAGTGTGTGCAATACAGGTTGGAATTACATCAAACAAAGAAAGCAGAAAATAGCGAAACTCTGCATGTGTGTATGGTTAACAGAAAGTGTAAATATACCGTTGTTAATTTATCCTATTACAACGAGTTTGAAGAATTGATATGATATTGTAATTATCTTACATGTGAATCAATTATAACCGTTGTATTAATAGGACGATATTGTATTTTATGAATATTAAATTTGTTATTTCAAACACACATTTAAGATATCTCATAATCAACTATACAAATTCATTAAAGGGGTGTAGTAATTGTCCTTTGTCTCGAGCAAATAAATCTATTACGCGGGTTTATAAACCCCATTAATGCAGGGTCATGAATTTGTTATCCTGTTTATCCCATGTATGCTTTTCGCATCTACTAAAGGCTGAAAAACTAACGCAGTGATGGTAGTTTTTGATAGCGTTCTGGCTCATTTGCATAAAGGATCGCTGTTGGTTTACCTTATTGCGACAAAATTTACGATTTGTGAAATTCATTTATAACATAATTTTGAAGTCTTCTTTCACGGTTCAATCACATTGTCAGGATTATTACACTGCGTTACTACATTGAACTGCCATGATATAAAGGAATACAAGTCATTAGTATAAAAATAAATAAATAAACACACACATATATTAACCGATATATCCTGCACAGACACAGGTACCTATACAAAGTATAATAGAAAATAGACAAACTATAACTGTGACAGCACATTGGGAAATCAATGGGAAATTACCATACAGTATATGTGTTATAATAGAAGTTATGTGTCTGAATAGGTGTAGGTGACCTATAGAGATACAAGAGTACAGTGATTCAACATGGAATTGTAGTCAGAGGTCCGAGTACAGTGATTCAACATAGAATTGTAGTCAGAGGTCCGAGTACAGTGATTCAACATAGAATTGTAGTCAGAGGTCCGAGTACAGTGATTCAACATAGAATTGTAGTCAGATGTCCGAGTACAGTGATTTAACATAGAATTGTAGTCAGAAGTCCAAGTACAGTGACTCAACATAGAATTGTAGTCAGAGGTCCAAGTACAGTGATTCAACATGGAATTGTAGTCAGAGGTCCGAGTACAGTGATTCAACATGGAATTG